CAGCCCATGTGCAGCACCCAGCGTGCGGACCCCGCATCCTCCCTGCAGAGCCCTGGCTGCATGGCTGCACTATTCCTGTACCTTTATAACAGAGATGAGCTCCATGCGAGCATCGTTCAGATCACCTGCTAGGAAATGACTCGTGCAGAGATTCACAGTGCTTTTCTCTGTGGCACAGATGCAGAGCACTTTAAGAAACAGTCTCCTCCTCTGCCCATGAGCTCCTTGTAGGCAGCCCTGCACCTCCAGATGGGCTCTCCCAGCACAGCCATGTCTGGACCCAAGTCAGGATCGGGGCCAGACGGGAGAAGCCTGTAACATTCTGTATCCCAACCAGGAGCACACTCCAGCCTGCCACCAGCCTTGGAGTGGCCAGCCTGCCAGACCCCACCCCCAGAGCCCGACTTCAAAGAACTCACCCAGGGCCCACTTGGACCCATTCCCCTTGGGGCAGTGCTCTGTGGTGGCACCTGCTCCCAATCTGCACTGCCTCCACACAAGCCTACCTGTCCCCCAGCCCCCAGGGCATGTTCCTTCTGTCTCCTGAGCTGAGACAGTCCAGGGCCCCTTCTGGCCACCACCACCAGCCCAGTACCTAAGTCACCTTGCTCCCTGCTGTGCTCCAGGTCCCTGCAGCCTCCTATGATAGACAGCACTCTGCAGCTGGGGGCCTTTGGTGACCACACTCTTGGTGCCACCTGACCTCTACAGGGGCCAGTATCTAAAGTCACCCTATCTGCTCTTGTCTGGCTTTCCTGCCCTAAGCTGAGACCTCAGTGTGCAGCCCCCAACTCGGGTGGGGCTGGCTGGAGGGACTCCGAGGGCTGGTGCCAATGACTCTCCCTCAGGCTTCATGTAGATCCTGACCTTTCATATAACTGTTGTTATTACAACGCAGGTCAGCCGCTTTGAGGAACAAAATAAGAACATACCTTATTCCTAACTAGGTTTTCAGGAAAAAATACCAAGTCAGGTTACTTTGCTACTCTAATTAATAAGTTATAACCTCATTAATCAGAAGCCCAAGCCTGAAGACCTTTAGGTTTGGGAAGAAAAAAGGAACATTCAAGTTAACGCAGGCTTTTCTCAGCTGAATGCTCCAAGTAGGCTCTCTATCACCAACAGAAGTGATTTGTCCTCTGTCGGCTGTATTAATTACCTTAACAAGTTTGTACATCCCTTTCTACACATTTTTCTGCTGGAATTTTTACATGATTGTGCAACAACTCATGTTTTCTGGGGAGTGGAACAGGAGTGGGGGCAGCCGCAGACGTCCCGCCAGAGGGCCAGGGGCACCATGGCCACCGCCTGCGGTGTCATGGCCCCAGAGAAGTGCCTGTCCAGCCTCACAGGGCCTCGTCTGGCACATGGAGGCCAATGCCCCTCAGCTCTGCCGAGGTCCAGCCATAAACCTGGGGGCACCAGGAGCTTCACCATTTAAGGTGAGCTCTGGGAAGACCCCACCTCCTGACACCCAGACCTCCGTGGGCTTCTCTCCAGGGGGCTG